GAAGTCGCCATCTTGGATTCCAAAATGACGTGAATCATAGATTTCTAGCCTCTATTACCCTCCGTTACTCGCGCCAACTTTTGTAACACGAGTACTCGCGCGTTGTACTTTGTACAACAGTGTGAGTTTTCAATTGCCATTTTGCAGCCAAGCTACCAATCGATATGAAATCAACGGGTATTCCTTAAAAAACTTGTTTTTAACTAAACCAGCTAAACTTTTATCACAGTTAACCCCCAAAAAAATGCGGATAATAGAGAAAATGTGAATGGAAACCGCGTAAACGGTGTCCGTACTACGTGGGATTTTACTTAATTGGTTACAACATGGAAAATCTCGAGATCAACAAGATAGAAAGTTACTGTCTTGGGCAAAGTTGTTCTAGAGATCATCGCATGCGATATATCTCGAGAATATGACTAGATAGAAAGTTACTGTCTTGGGCAAAGTTGTTCAAAAGGTCAAGGCCTTTTCGTTGGTGGACAGAAGTTCAAAGTTTTCTTACTTCGCGGCGCTAGTATACATGTCTATATAAAATATCTCTAGATCCTTACCAGATAAAAAGTTACTGTCTTCCGCAAAGTTTTTTTGGAAGTCAAAATCTTGTCGTTGGTGGAGTAGTTCAGAAAATTCCACTACGTGGCGTTGGTATATACGTGCAATTTTTGCATATACGATAGCTCGAGATCCTGAGCAGATAGAAAGTTACTGTCTTCGGCAAACTAGTTCAGGGGGTCCAGTATTCTTGGCTGGTGGACAGTAGTTCAGAATTTTTTCGCTAAGCGGCGCTAGTAAACGTGTAAAATTCTCGCGTATGCTATAGCTCGAGATTATGAACAGTTGGAAAATTACTGTCTTCGCAAAAGTTGTTCATGAGGCCAATGCCTATTGCTTGCTGCACAATAGTTCAGAATTTTCACACTACGCGGCGTTAGTATACACGCAAAATTCTCGCATGTTAAATATCTCGAGATTCTGATCAGATAGATTTCGCTAGTGGACAGTAGTTCAAATTTTTCTCACTACGTAGCGCTAGAATACACGTGAAATTCTCGCATGTGATTTGTTTCGAGATCCTGACCATATAGAAAGTTACTGTTTTCGACAAAGTTGTTCAGGAGGTCAAAGCCTATTGCTTTGTGTACAATAGTTGAGAATTTCCTAAGCGGCGCTAGTATACATAAAATATCACGAGATCCTGACCAAAAGAATGTTACTGTCTTCGGCAAAGTTGTTCAGGGTGCCAAGGCTTTTTAGCTGGTGAACATTAGTTCAGAATTTTCTCACAACCTCTAGGCTTTAACTGCCTGAACAACTTTGTTCAAGACAGTTACTTTCTATCTGGTCAGGATCTCGAGATATATACCAGGCAAGAATTTCACATTTCACTAGCGCTACGTAGTGAGAAAATTTTGAACAACTGTCATCGAGCAAAAAATTTGTGATATCTTGAACAACTTTGCCGACGACAGTAATTTTCTATCTGGTCAACAACTTGAGATATTTTATATGCGAGAATTTCACATGTATACTAGCACCATGAAGTGAGAAAATTCTTAACTACTGTTTACCAGCCAAAAAGTCTTGACCCCCTAAACAACTTTGCCGAAGACTTTCTAGCTGATCAAGATCTCGAGCTATTGAATTTCCGGAAAAACACGTATATACTAGCGCCGCATAGTGAGACAATTCTGTACTATTGTCACCCAACAAAAAGATCTTAACTTCCTGAAAAACTTTGCCGAATACATTTACTTTCTATCTGGTCCGGATCTAGAGATATTTAATATGCAAGAGTTTCACATGTACAATAGCGCAGCAAAGTGAGAAAACTCTGAACAACTGTTCACCTACGAAAAAGCCTTGACCTCCTGAAAAACTATGCCGAAGACAGTATCTTTCTATCTGGTTGGGAACTCGAGATATTTAACATGAGAATTTCTCGTGTATACTAGCGTCGTGTAGTCAGCAAATTCTGAATTATTGAGCACCAAGCAATAGGTTTTGACCTCCTGAAAAACTTTGTGAAAGACAGTAACTTTCTATCTGGTCAGGATCTCGAGATATATCACATGCGAGAATTTCACATGTATACTAGCGCTACGTAGCAGGGTTGCTTCCACTCACTTGTTATATTTAGAAACATATTTTTTGGAATTATGCAATCATTAGATGATCTAATGATATGCTGTACTTGTAAGTAACGAGAAGAGGGTTTAAAGTATGTGTTTGACTCATAAAACCTGTAAATTTTGCTTTCAGAGCGTCACAATAAGCGATCTTATGATTCGTGAGCGTTCACTCAGAGTGAGCACTCACGAGTCGTAAAATTGCTGATTGTGACGCACTGAAAGCAATACTGACAGATTTTATGTGTCAAACACATACTTCACGTCCTCATCTTGTAACTTACAAGTACTAATTATCACTATACCATCTCATGATTTCATAATTCTGAAAAACATTTTTTTATAGCAAGTGAGTGAAAGTAACCCTGCTACGTAGTTAGAAAATTCTGAACTACTGTCCACCAGTGACAAGGCTATGATCTCCTGAGCAACTTTGTCGGAGACAGTAACTTTCTATCTGGACAGGATCTCAATATATTCCATGTTGTAATCAATTAAGTCAAATCCCACGTAGTATGATCACAGTTTCCCTATTATCCGCATTTTTTAGGTGTTAACTGTAATCAAAGTTTAGCTTGTTTAGTTCAAAACAAGTTTTTTGAGAAATAGTCATTGGTTTCAGATCGATTGGTAACTCAGCAACAAAATGGCAATGGAAAACTCATGTGTGTTGTACAAAGTACAACAGCGCGAGTAACGGAGGGTTAATACTATACTAATGCACAAATGGTACAGGCATCGAATACTCCCAATTAATAACTGTGGAAGTGCATCTAGAACACTAAGTTGAGACCACATAATAAGCTAATATGCGATAAGAAATAAGCT